GTATGATTGCCTGGAGTATATCTTGGGGGAGTTGAGATAAAGGAAGTTTCCTTGTTAAAGTAAACTTACAGGATCCTTGAGGTTGGGATAATGTTAAGCTAAGAATCTCTTTTGCCCCTGGGCAAAGTGTCATCATCGAGGCACCTGAACTCCCAGAGGAAGGGCACTCTGCCGGCTTCAAGGACTGGTCAGTGGGCTGCAGGCAGTAAGGGAATTTAATTTTTATTCGCCTTACTTTCCCACATCGCCATGGCAAGCACTTAAACCTCTTTCCTTTGTTCTTAGGTAGCCAAGGAGTGTCCGAGGAGTGTCATACATATTCCGCCTGGGGGTGGGGGTTGCTGTTAACCTGTACTTTGCCCTCAGCTTGTCCCATCACTAAGGACATCTGAGCCAAGGGACAGGCCATCTGGGGACTCCTCTGGTTGTTTGTTAACCAAAAGCCCTCTGGTTTTCCAAAGTTGGGTGAGGGTGTGCTGTGTGAAGGGGTTATGAGGGAGGGAGGAGAGGTGGGGAGGCTCGGGTTCTACGAGGGTAGAGGAATGGGCTGCCCTTGGGCCATGGACACTTGCTGATCTTGAACCCACCTCCTCACAGCACCTGCAGACAAGGGGATGGCCTGAAGGCACATCCTTCTTTTCATGGGGCTTAGAGGAGGGCTTAGTACCTGCCTCCACCTCTCCTTGCTTTCTACCTCTAGGCTTCATCGTTTAATGCAGTGGAAGAGCTCTATTTCTGAACTGGTGCTGTCTCCTCCCGGGCTCCATCGTTTTGGATGCCTGGCTTGTTTATCTCCACATACTAACCCCAGTCCCCATCACCTCCCCAGCCTGTCTCTGCAAGGTGAACTCAGTCCCCGTGGTTTTGTCCAAAATCCAGATCCCAGTCTCACTCCCAGACCAGTTCTCTTAGCATGCATGAGGCCCAGGCAGGGGGAATTTGGGAAAACTTGCAGGTGATTTGATGTGCACCCGTTTAATGTGTCTGTGTTTCTTATCTATTTGGAGCCATCACTATCTGTTTTTATTCAGCTGTACTGATCATTCACTTATTTACCAGTGTCTGTCCGTAGCAGTCTGTATCATTCATTGAATCAGCATCCATCTCTATCATCATCAATAGAGTTACATATTCATTCATTCAGTAACTCACATTGAGCAATAAAGCATTTATGCTACTTGTTAAAGATGGTAAGGAAGACTTTTGTCAAGGAAGACCACTGCAGTGTGGGTTTTGCAGTAGAGGAGGAAAATCAGGCTCCACTCTGACTACAATAGGGGGCAAGTGGAGATTTATAGCCAAAGAGCAGGGTGGGGGCCAGTGGCTGGAAAATGACTGAGGGGAAATGTCAAGGGGGCAGCTGGGTGGCTCAGGTGATTAAGCCCAACTCTTGGTTTCAACTCAGGTCATGATCTCATGGTGAGATCAAGCCCAGTGTTGAGCTCGGAGTAGGGCTCTGGGCTGACGCTGATGGGGCGGAGCCTGCTTGGGTTTGGCTCTCCCCCTGCCCCTTCCCCACTTCTTTTCTTTCTCTCTCCCCCCCAAAAAAAGAAAAAGAAACATCAAAGTCAGAGGGGTTCTCCCTGAAGGCAGGCCAAGATACTGAGAGTGGAGAATGAGGAATTTGTTTAAATATGCAGGGTGATCAGATATCACACATGGGCAATTCTTGCTAACACTGGACTCTACAAGGACATAGATGGAAGTCCAAGGTTGGCCTAGTTGAGCAGAGGGCCCAGAGGAGCGTGGCTCCGGTTTGGTCAAGGAGAAAGTCTTTGTCAGTGACACACTGTTCTAGGCACCAGGAATGGAACAGTAAGCAAAACAAGTAAATGAATATATCACAGGTCAGGCAATGAGTCCTGGGAGGAAAACACAACTGGGCAAAGCGGAGATGGGGGGGGGGGTGTTGCCTGGCTGGTTCAGTGGGTAGCTCATGTGAGTCTTGATCTAGGGTTTGTGAGTTTGAGCCCCATGTTGGGCACAGAGCCTACTAAAAATAATTAAGTAAGTTAATTAATAAAGGGGAGAGAGAGTGAGACAGTGGGCAGCAGTTATTACTTATACCTGTCCCCGTCTATACGCTTCATCTATTTATGGGTTTACGATTGGCTACAACAGTTTCCTTCATAGCAATGGCCCAAGCATCCTGAGACCATGCCACGTCCAGCACTGAGAACTTTTAAGTGAATGATCACCCGGAATGGTCATAACGGTTCGGAAACCATCCTTCTCATTTTAGGGGTGAAGAACGTGAGGTTGAAAAAAGTGAAGTGACTTGCACAAAGTCATGGGGACTGAGAGTGGCGGATTTAAACCAGAACCCAGGCATTCCAACTGTGGAGACCTCTCTTCTTTGCTCTGCTGCCCTCTTCCTTGGTTCTTTGGGTTTTTTTGGGGTTTTTTTGTTTGTTTTTGTTTTTATTTTATTTCTAGGAGAGAGAGAGAGAGTGAGAGAGAGAGAGACAGCGTGAGCAGGGGAGGGTCAGAGAGAGAGGGAATCACAGACTGAAACAGGCTCCAGACTCTGCGCTGGCAGTCAGCACAGAGCCCGACGCGGGGCTCGAACCCACAAACCGCGAGATCATGACCTAAGTGAAAGCCGGACGCTTAACCGACTAAGCCACCCAGGCGCCCCAACTTCCTTGGTTCTTTGGAAGCCAGGTTCTTTCTCTCTTGCCTCGGGGTCAAGGCCAGTGCTGGTCCTTCCTCTCCTCTCTACGCAGCTGAATTCTTGCTCATCCTTCAGGTCTGCATTTGGACACCTTTTTCTTTCAGGAATCTCTCCCCTCCGCCTGCAAGCCCAGGTGTCTCCTCAGTATCCCCTTTCCTGTGTTTCTCCTATCAGAGCAACTATCACACAGATTGTAATTAAGTATCTGCTTCCTGTGCACTCCCCGGAGGGCACCATGTATCTCGCCCATCACTGTACACCCAGACCCAGCCAAAAGGCTGGCACACAGATATATTAGTAGTCCAATGAATGAAGGAACGTGACATTACCGATAACTGTGTTTAAAAGTTTTAGATGCCTAGCTCCTCGGAGTTGTGCAACGTGCCGCACCGCTTTCTCCAAGATTCCCCAAAGCCTTGTGACTTGGGCAAGGCAGGGATCCCATCCCGGTTCACAGAGGGGGAAACCGCGTGAACTCCAGAGAGCTTAAATGGCAGAACCTGATTCCAACTCAAGTCAGCCAGAGTCCAAACCCAGTGTTTCGTGCGAGCAGGGCTGGGCGGCCAGAACGGAATCAACTTGACTTCACCTCTCAGGGAGGCAATGTCTGGTAGGGGAGACTTTCAGACAACTCCGTAAGAAAGTGGAGAGTGGCAAGTTTAGTTCAAGAGGTCGCTGTGGGATGTCAGAGGCGGTGGCGTTTGAAAATGGGCCCTTAAAAGGCGGGCAGAATTTGGGGACTGACAAGGGCAGAAAAAAAGCCCACTAGGGCTCAGACCGTTCGCAGGTTCCGCGCAGAAAGACCCTTAGAGGACCTGGTAACACCGCCTCAGCGTCTTTAAGAGTGGCTCCGCCCCACTCAGCCACAGCAGCCAATCGAATCCCGACGGCCAATGGTAAAGAGAGCACTTCCGCGCTTCAACCGCACTTAGGGGGCGGAGCAGAGGGCGAGAGAGGCGCGACCAGATCGATCACGTGACCCAGCCCATTGGCGAGAGGCGGGTTCCACACGGGGCGGTTCGGCGACGTTCATTGGTCAAAGAAAGGTTGGCCCCGCGTGGGGCCACGCCCCCCCCCCCCCCCCGGTGACCGCGAGGTTGGTTGCGCGGGCGCTGGGGAAGGAGACGCTGCCCTTCCGCAGCGATGGGATCCTGGGTGAGTGGCGGCTTTGGATGAGCCCGCTCGGCGGGCGTCGCGGCAGGGCCTGGGACGCAGGCTTGCAGCTGGCGGGAGTCGGGTCTGAGCAAAGGACTGGGTGGGAGCGCAGGTGTCCGGGCTCAGCCGGACTAGAAGGGCCCGGGTTGGAATGAGCAGGTACCCGGGCCGTGGGTGGCTCGAGAGGTGGAACGGAAGGTACCAGGTCAATGAGGAGATGCCCGGGCCTGGAACGTTGCAGGGGCGCAGGTACCCGAACCTGGACTGGGAAGGCAGGTGCGCCGGCCGCGGGTGTCGCCAGTGGGCATCTGGACCACCCTCTCGGGTATTCCGGGGCTCGGGAAAGAGGGGAAGGGTCCTGAACGGTGGCTGCGCAGGGTGATATCCGAGACGGAATGAGCCGATTCTGAAGAAGGGGATATTGCTGAGGTCCCGTGTGGGAGTGGCCAGTGCCTAGTGCCCAGGTTGGTCAGACTTGTAAGCTGCCTAAAGTGGAATGAACAGAGACTGGGCAGAGGGTGGCCCAGAGGAATGCCTGGGCCCGGGACATTGCTGGGGTCAAGGAGCAAAGGTGGGCTGTTCAGGCCAAAGTCATTAAGGGGGTTGCCCACTTCGAGAGAGGAGGTGCTGTTGCGCAAGATGTGGGCATTGAGGCTGAGGGTGTTGTAAGTGCAACAGTGAGGGTGGAATGAGGATGTTCTTGTCCAAGGTTATAGAGTGACTTGTCCAGGTAGGAATGGCATTGAAAACGTGCAGAGGGTGGGGAACATTGCTACAGGCTGTCATCATAGAGAAGAGGCTTCTCCGGGGTTGTGTCAGGGGGTTGAAAGGGGCACAGTTGAGCTGAGTCTGTGGATGCATCCCTGGAGCGAAGCAGGCTTGGGTTGTTATCACCTTGAACTTGAGACTCTTCCTCTCATTTAGGACAGCCGAGGCTGCTCTTGACTTTGCTGCAGGCAAATCAGGTCCCCCAGCCCTATGTCACTCCTGAAGCACGCATTCGGCCTCACCGTTGTCACTCCATGTCACTTCTCACTTGGGCCCCAAAATCCTTCAGGTGTGGCATGAAGAGAAAGGTGGCAGTTGTAGCGGACAGTGCAGGAGAAACACCATCACTTTGGGATCCCTTGCGGCTAAGGTCACATCCCAGCTTGGTCAGTTAGTGAGGTCAGTCAGGTCACTTGCCTCTCACAGCCTCAGTTTTCCCATCATAAGCAATGGGCATCTGTGAGTGACTAGACTCACAGGCCACCCACTTTCTGGGGAGCGCCTTTTCCAAGCCTGGCCTACGGTAGTAAGTGCTTGGGAAATAGTAGCTGCTGGTGTTCTGGTGTTTTCGGCTCCCCTGCTCCAAGGCCCCGGGCCCAGTTGGGAGAGGGGGGGATGAGAGGGCTGGCTCATGCTAATAACCCAGGCCCCTGACCACTGGAGGGTGCACTGCTCACTTTGCAGCCTCCTTGATCCTATGCTCTAGACTATGACTCTGCTCCTCCCCCCCCACCCCCGCACCCAGCCCAGCATTAGAGCTAGTCTGGGGAGATCATCCATCCTTCCCACTCACTGGGGCTACGCAGTTTCTTGTGCTGCTTCAGTGACTTTGGCCGCCATCCCAGGTCTATGGGGTCTGTCTTGGCCTGTGTATTCCTTCCGCTTGAGGTCCCAGGAGACCTTGAAGGCATCCTTGGTCTTTGTGGCGGCGGGTGGGAAGGGCTCCGAAGGATCTCGGACATCTGGCGAGGGGTGCTCAGGACGCTTATTCGCTGGCTGGGGATGGGGCGGTGTGCCCAGGGGGGGTCTCAGAAGGCCCCAGGGGAACGTTGCCCTGGTAGTTTGTGGTTCTGCTGGGATCTGCCATTTCCTGCTCCACATCAGACTCAGCTAAAGGGTTGTATTGAGCGCAGAGTCTAAAGTCCAGTAGATCTTGGACCAGGTCCACTTTACCCCATCCTAGCTGTGTGACCAGGAACTCCAGACTTAACCACTCCGAGCCTCACTTTCCTCATTGGAAATTGGCAAAGATGGGATGGGGCAGGGGGAGGGGAGGCTAACCACCATCTGCTTCACAGAATTGTAACGATTCAGTGAAACTAACCTAGTGAAGAGCTCAGCACAGAGTCCGTGTAGCGTCTGGTGGCTACTGTTATTTGAGGCAATGCCCTGCTTGTTCTACTACAGCCCCCCGGAAATAAAAACATTCTTGGCCTTGTGGCAGATGGAGAAGGTGTCGTGGTTCCCAGTCAGTGGCGTGGCCCTTTTGTGGCTTGAGAGTTTTGTTTGCCCAGTGGACCACGGGGTTTGAAAAGAAAGGCCCACGATCGAGGGTGACTGCCCGTCTCCCAGGCCCTGGGTCCATTCTTGGGCCAAGACGCCAGAGATGCTGTCTTCTGCTCCTAGGGCTCAGGGCGGGCGAGGGTTCGGCGGGGCATTTGGCTGCCTTTCTGTTGGCGGGTGCAGAAGATGGGGGCCTGATTCCAGCCCTGGCACTGCAGAGGGAGGCTCTGCTCCCACCTCATCCCTCTTAGGGGCATTTCGTTGGGCTCACGTGACCATATCATTGTGTCTCCCTTGGTCCTTTGTCTCCCAGCTCCGTGGAAGGACCCCCTGGTATGTGCATTTTTGTCTTGCTGAGGCGTGGACAGTGCCCGGGACCCAGCCAGCCGCCAGCTGAAGACGTTCTTGGAAGCTCTCGGCCCCGAGGGCTCTCGCCTGGGGTGCCAGTCCTGCCATGGCATTCCGGAGGACTGAGGGCATGTCCATGATCCAGGCCCTGGCCATGACAGTGGCTGAGATCCCTGTGTTCCTGTACACGACGTTTGGGCAGGTAGAGGTTGGGCTGGGCTGTGGTCCTGCCTTGACCCCTCTGGGCTCCAGAACACCGAGCCCCTCATCTCAGGGTCCCCAGCATTTGGGAAAGCTCGTCTGCTATTATTGCTGCCCCAGGTTTTGGGGGTCTCCTGTATCAGCAGAGCAAGAAGGACTAGGTTAGGAGAGAATGGGGCCCCGAGCCCTGTCTTCACCCTAGGGCTATGTGAGCACTTGACCTCAGTTTTTCAGTCCATCAACGGGGTCAGCAGTGCCCTCTCCGCCAACCTCAAATGTCTTTTGACATTTCCTAAAGCCCCGCTATGTGGGCTGCAGCTCCTGCCCCGCCCCCAAGGGGCCCCCAACTCAGTAGGCAGAAAGTGAGGAGTAGGGGATTGTACTGATGGGGCTGTTGGGTGGAGTGAATGTTATTGGCTTCAAGGAGTCGTTAAGAAACAGGGTCAGGAGACCTAGGTTCAATTTTCTGTCTCCCTGTCCCCTTGATCTTGTGTCTTAACCTGTGTGACCCTCACATTCTCACGTGGGAAATGACAGGCATTCAGGAAACGCAGGTAAAATCCTTAGTGCACAGTAGGGGCTCAGTCACTGCAGCTGTTAGGATCATGACCAGGGGAGTGAGGGACACGTACTGGACCCCGATGTGATCTCCTTGGCATTGTCATTTTGCCGTCCCCAGATCCCCCTCTTTATATCTCCGTGGTCCACGTTTCAGAAGTGCTGGCCAGGTCCCTCCTCCTGGGGTGGCTGCCACTCTATCATTCCTGGTCAGCAAACAGCCCCTGGGTGCCTAAGGCACCCTCTGCTCCTGGGGTGCTCCCCAGGGCAGCTCTGCCCTCTGCAGAGCTCTTCCAGGAAGATGTAGCCCCGCCGCCTCTCTCTCTTCCTGCAGTCTGCCTTCTCCCAGCTGCGGTTGACCCCAGGCCTGCGGAAGGTCCTTTTTGCCACAGCCCTGGGGACTGTCGCCCTGGCCCTGGCCGCCCACCAGCTAAAGAGGCGACGGCGGAGGAAGAAGCAGGCCGGCCCCGAGATGGGAGGCGCGCATCTGGGCACGGTGCCCCTCCCTATCCTCATGGCCAGGAAGGTGCCGTCGGTGAAGAAGGGTAGGTGTGAGGCAGTGGGGGAGGGCCTGACCTAGAGTCAAGTCCTGGCGGGGCCCCATGTTCACTGTCGGATCTTGGGCTCCTGATGTCCCGTCTGCAAGCTGAGTTCTGCTCCTCTGTGAAGCGGGGGTGGCGGTAGACCCTTCCCTGAGTCGTCTTAAGGATTTGGTGGGTGATTCGGCCAGATGGCCATGTCTTCTCAGTGGCGGTTGTTCTTAGTATCTGAGGACCCTTTGGGAGCACTCGGGTCCAGAGGGGGCTGGTGGCACACAGCCTGGGGAGGGAAGTCCTTGGTGCAGGGCCATGTGGTTTCTGAACCATATGGCGTTCTCCTCCTCCCCTCCTTTTTTAAAAGTTAGGGTTGACTCCACATATAGAAAGTTCACCCGTTTCAGTGTACGGTTTTGTTTGTTTTTTTAAGTTTATTTATTGATTTTGAGAGAGAGAGAATCCCAAGCAGGCCCTGTGATACTGGTGTGGAGCCTGAGGCAGGGATTCTGAACCAAGAGATTCATGAGCCGAAATCATCAAGCATCAGACGCTTAACCAGCTCAGCCACACAGGCGCCGCTTTAGCATACAGTCCTTTTTTTTTTTTTTTAATGTTTATTTATTTTTGAGAGAGACAGAGCACAAGTGGGGGTGGGACAGAGAAGAGGGAGGGAGACACAGAATCTGAAGCAGGCGCCAGGCTCCTAGCTGTCAGTACAGAGCCAGATGCGGGGCTCGAACTCACGAACCGTGAGATCATGACCTGAGCCAGAGTCAGACGCTTAACCAGCTGAGCCCCCCAGGTGCCCCTAGCATACAGTTCTTTGTGTAGTTTTGTGGAACGCCTGTAGACCTGTTCTCACTCCTGCCACGTCCCTGTGGTCAGCCCCTCTCCCCTACCCCCTGCCGCTGGTAGCCTCTGAACTGTTTTGTGCTGGTGTGGCTTTCAAAGCCCTTATGGCCCCTGTTTATCTTGTAACCCAGCAACCCAGCCTTTGCCATGGCTGAATGTCACACGGCCCGCTTCCCCAGGCAGGACGTTCTCACAGCCTCCCAACTCGGGAGAAACCTGGCTTAAGAAGCAAAAACTCCCCTGAGGTGAAAATGAATTTTAATTGTGAAGTTTCATCGCAAAAGGGAAGTTTTCCCTTTACAGCTGGAACAAGAAGTCTTTCGGTTAGTCTCGTTGGCGTTGGCCCCCAGGGCACCTGGAACCGTTTCCACACCAGCCACTCACTTGCCTATCCCGCCCCCCTCCCCCCTCCCGTCTCTTGTGTCTCTTGTGTCACCTTATTATCCCTCCCCTACTTTTCACACTTAAATTTTTTGCTTGGGGGGGCCTGGGTGGCTTAGTCGCTTCAGTGCTGGACTTCCAGGTTATGATCTCATGGCTTGTGAGTTTGAGCCCCACCTTGGGCTCTTTGCTAACAGTGCGGAGCCTGCTTGGGATTCTCTCCCTCTCTCTCTGCCCCTCCCCCACTCACTCACTCTCAAAATAGATAAACTTTTTAAAAAATCTATGAAAACATTTTTTGTGTGTGTATTAAAGTTTTTTTCTTAACGTTCATTTATTTTTGCGAGAAAGAGTGCAAGAGGGTGAGACACAGAATCTGTAGCAGGCTCCAGGCTCCGAGCTGCCAGCGCAGAGCCCGACGCGGGACTTATACTCACGAACTGCAAGATCATGACCTGAGCCAAAGTTGGATACTCAGGGGGGCCTGGGTGGCTCGGTCAGTCAAGTGTCCATCTTCAGCTCAGGTCATGATCTCGCAGTTTGTGAGTTCAAGCGCCGCATCAGGCTCAGTGCTGACAGCTCGGAGCCTGGAGCCTGCTTTGGATTCTGTCTCCTTTTCTCCCCTGCCCCCTTCACGCTTATCTCTCTCTCACAAAAATAAATAAACATTAAAAAAAAAAAAAAGTCGAACGCTCGACCCACTGAGCTGCCCAGCTGCCCCTTTTGTCTGTATTTTTATTTTTAAATGTTTTTTGTTTATTTCTAGGAGAGAGAGAGAGACAGCGTGAGCAGGGGAGGGTCAGAAAGAGAGGGAGACACAGAATCTGAAACAGGCTCCAGGCTCTGAGCTGTCAGTCAGCACAGAGCCTTATTTTGGGCTTGAACCCACTAACCGCGAGATCATGACCTAAGCGAATGTCGGTCGCTTAACCGACTAAGCCACCCAGGCGCCCCTCTTTTGTCTGTATTTTAAAAGCCATGGTCTTGGGGCACTTGAGCGTCCGGGCTCACTGCTATCAGCCTGTCAACACAGAGCCACTTCGGATCCTCTGTCCCCCTCTCTTTGCCCCTCCCCCACTTGTGCTTCTCCCTCCACCCCCCCCACCCCCAAAAAGTCATTGCCTCAAATTCTTCTTGGAAAGAGTAGAATTCCAGATCAGTTAGTCAGCAACACAGGGGAAACTGAGTGGGGAGTAGGTGGGGAAGTCGCCATCCTCATTCTCAGGCTTAACCCGGCACATCCCGGGCCTCTGGGCCGGGCCCTGCGCTGGGTGACAGGGACATACGGTGAACAGGACGACAAATGGAGGCGTAGCTGCACCGCCGTCCCCGGGGGCTGGGAGGACAAGGTCCCGGGTGAGGGAGAGGAGGGTTGCCTGGAGGTGGGAACAGCCTGTGCGAAGCCTTGGCTCGAAGCCTGCGTGACCCTTGCCTCCCTGTTGTTCACAGGCTACTCGAGCCGGAGGATGCAGAGCCCCAGTAGCAAGAGCAACGACACCCTGAGTGGCATCTCCTCCATCGAGCCCAGCAAGCACTCAGGCTCCTCCCACAGCCTGGCTTCGGTAACTACCTGGGGGAGGGCACGGAGGGGGGGTGGGGGTGTGGGGGCGGCTCTGGGCTCCGTCCCAGCACAGAATAGACTCTAGTTTCTGCCCTCAGGGAGCTTACAGACTGGTGGGAAGACAGGAGAAGAGATTTCATGCAGTCTCTTCATTCATTCATTCTCTTCATTCATTCATTCATTCATTCATTCACTCATCCATCCCTGCTGGCTTTCCAAAAAAAAATTTTTTTTTAAAGTTTATTTGTTTTTGAGAGAGACAGAGACAGAACACGAGTGGGTTAGGGGCAGAGAGAGAGGGCAGCCCAAGGCAGGCTCCCGGCCCCTGGCTGTCAGCACAGAGCTCGACGCGGGGCTTGAACTCACAAACCGCAAGATCGTGACCTGAGTTGAAGTCAGACACTTAATCGACTGAACCCCCCAGGCTCCCCATCCATGCGGGCTCTCAGAGGTTGTCACTGATCACTTACTGAGTGCCAGGCATCGGTGACAGAAAGGTGGATGGGTGCAGAAGAGAGGTTTGTGGTCTCATGGGGAAGATACTTGTCTATGAAAATTCATTCATTCATTCATCCATTCATTCATTCATCAGGCACCGAGCAGGCGTCTGTTTTATGCCAGGGCCACTGCTGAGGATACAGAGATCAGTGAGAGCAACACCGTATTTTTTCCTGGAGAGGGGCTCTGGGCTCATTTGCTCATCTCCTCACCCATCCATTCAGCAAGCTCTGAGCTGGGCTCTGCCTGGGGCCTAAGAGATAGCTCTTGGCCTGGAGGGGTTCACTTCCGGGCAGGGCAAGAATTGTGGCTAGTGTGGGCTCTGCCCTGCCCTGCGCGCGGTGGGTGCTCCCTCAGTCTTCCTGGTCCTCCCAGTACAGAGCCCCAGAGCAGGGGATGGACCCAGGGCGGCTTTTGTTGGAGGCTGCGGCCTCCTGGGCCGGGCATCGGCCTCCATTTCCTCCCACTTCATTTTGTGTAAGGCGCCATCAGGTGCTCAGAGTTGGGGGGGAGCGGGCCGTGCTGGGGGTTTGGCCGCTGTGCCAGGGGCTGGCTTCAGGGGTGGTCTCTGGAGAGGGTGTGTGACCTGATGAGGCCGCGGGGGGGTCTCGGGCCCTACAAAGATCCGGGAGGGCCTTACGCCTTGCCTTCGGGCCCCCGTGCCGCTTGGTGCCCAGATGGTAGCAGTGAACTCAAACAGCCCCACGGCTGCGTGCTCGGGACCGTGGGATGCCAGAGGGATGGAGGAGTCCGTGGCCACCAGTGACGGCAACGCGGAGAGTCTCTACATGCAAGGTAGGGGCCACGAGGCAGCCTCGGGGGCTCTCCCGGAGCAGCGTTGGGGGAAGCATGGCCTCGGGAGCCCAGGCCGGGCTCAGGACACTTTTCCGGGTGCTGTTTGGCAACCCCACTCCTGACGCCCAAACCCTCATTCGGTGGCGTTCAGCCGTCTCCGGGCCGGGAAGGGGCCTGGCTCACGCAGTCTTGCCCGGTTTTGTCCTTTGGGGGGGTCCTCCTGCCTCCTTGGTGTCCCGAGCCCCGTCCCCGGTGACCTGGGCACGGGGCCCACCTACTCTCCCCCAGCTGAGGTCGTTCTCTCCCTCCTCTTCCCGCCCGGGCTCAGGCATGGAGCTGTTCGAGGAGGCGCTGCAGAAGTGGGAGCAGGCACTGAGCGTGGGGCAGAGAGGGGACGGCAGCGGCACCCCCACGCCGGGGGACAGCCTGCGGAACCCCGAGACGGCTTCGGAGGTGCTGTCGGAGGTAGGTGGTCCTCTGCTGTGGCTTTCTGAGCTCCCGGCCGGGGAGAAGGTCGGGACAGAGATGCAGTGTGACAGCCTCGCCTTCTGCCGGGCAGTCACTGGTCCTGGACGAGAGTTTTCCCCTCCACCAGGATGTCTGTCCCGCCAGGTCACGTACTCAACGTGACGTGCCTGGCGCATGCCTGAAATCACTCAGTGCCCCGTGGTGATGCTCATGCCCCGGTCCCAGCTATGTGAGGAAAAGGTGCATTTTATGAAGGAAGTGAGGGAAAAATAGCCGCATTCACTTGAGAGGATCACATAGCCCGTGTCCCGTCTTTTCTTCATACGTGTATTTGGCACCGTCGGTCAGTATTTATTTCAGTGTCAGAAAAGGGAGAGTAAGAAAGTTAAAAATAAAAACTTTCTGGATGAAGTGTACCAAACACACGTCTTGGGGGGGATGTTTACTAAAGCAGTATCTTGTAACCGTTAAAACGCAGGGGAAAAAAAGGAATCTATCTACATGTCAAATCAATAGTAGTCCGGAGTAGGGGCACCGGGGTGGCTCAGTCGGTTAAGCGTCCGACTGTGGCTCGGGTCACGATCTTGCAGTTCGTGAGTTCAAGGCCCGCGTCGGGCTCCGTGCTGACAGCTCGGAGCCTGGAGCCTGCTTTGGATTCTGTGCCTCCCTCTCCCTCTGCTCCTTCCCCTGCTCACACTCTGTCCCTCTCTCTCAAAAATAAATAAACGTTAAAAAAAAAAAAAGAAAAAATGGTTTGGAGTACAAGGCAGACACTAAAAGGCTGATAGGCTGCTGTCTCCAAAATATGTCATTAAGTGAAAAAAGCAAGTTGTGGAATGTGTACAGTACGACCCGTGTGTGTCCATGTTCAAAAAGACACGTATCCAGGGGTACCTGGGTGGCTCAGTCGTTTAAGCACCCGACTCTTGGTTTTGGCTCAGGTCATGATCTCACGGTTTCATGGGTTCGAGCCCCACGTCGGGGTCCGTGTTGACATTGCGGAGCCTGTTTGTGATTCTCTCTCTCTCCCTCCCCCTTCCCGCCTCTCCCTCACTCGTGCTTTCTCTGTCTTTCTCAAAATAAAGAGATAAACTAAAAAAAATTTTATTTAAAAGACATACATCCATGCATACGTGTGCCAATGGGTAACTGCTGGCATGTACAGGGATTTGTACTTCCCTCTGGGTAGATAACTGAGGAAATCGTTAGCTGTGATCTGTGAGGAGTGGGTCTACAGAGAAAGATGGGAAAAGAGTTGCATTGCACTTTATTATTTGACTTTCCTGAATTCAAGCCATACTTACGGGCAGGGTTTGTATAGGTAGTTGGATTGTGGACTCTTTATTATTATTTTTAACGTTTGTTTTGAGAGAGAGTGAGCATGAGCAGGGGAGGGGGGGCACAGGGAGGGAGAGAGAGAATCCCAAGCAGGCTCCGGGCTTTCAGCGCAGAGCCTGACAAAGCCTCGAATTCATGAACCGTGAGATTGTGACCTGAGCCCAAATCAAGAGTCTAGACGCTTCACCGACCAAGCCACTCAGGTTCCCCGGGGACCATTTTTTAGTGTTTGTACTTTTCTGTATTAAAAAAAAAAAAAGCCCAACAACAAACCCATGAACTTCTGTCCTCTGCTGGAGCGAGGGCGGAGTGGGGGGCTCTTTGGGGAGCAGTCTGACAGTATCTGGAGGGTCTAGCCAGGAAACGGAATGAATTTTGGAGGTTCCAAAGGGAGGTTAACGCGGGGAATTGCCCAGGTTGCCCTGGTGGGGGAGGAGCTGAGAGCCTTAAGGCCGGAGGGGGTGCGCCCAGGGTCCAGAACCACGGAGGGGCCTTACCAGCAGGGGTCGCCCCAGGTTGGGGAGCGTGGGGCAGAGCTGCGGGGTGAGGCAGGCCTGCGTGGGGAGCTCCCCCGCCCGTTGCCCCACTCCGCGCTTCCGCCACCTGCGCCTTGGTTGCCTGTGAGCCAGTTGGCAGGGGCACCTGGGAAATAGTCTGCGGTACCAGGATGAGGCCATGCCTGGCACCAGCCGCAGGTGTGCCCTCTACCCCAGCTGGGGGTGCTGGCTCACGAAGGGAGGCTGCCACTTAGAAGGAACGGTGTACTTATATTCATGTGTTCATTGTATAAGGGCCTACAGAGGTCACATATTCCAGAACTTTCTTTTTCTTTTTTTTTTTTTTAATGTTTTTATTTATTTCTGAGAGAGAGAGAAACAGTGTGAGCAGGGGAGGGTCAGAGAGAGAAGGAGACACAGGATCGGAAGCAGGCTCCAGGCTCTGAGCTAGCCATCAGCACAGAGCCCGATGCAGGGCTCGAACCCACGAACTGCGTGATCACGACCTGAGCCAAAGTCAGAGGCTTAACCGACTGAGCCACCCACGTGTCCCAGAGATTCCAGAACTTTCTTGCAGTTCCTTTTCACCTAGCCCAGTCTCCCCTTTCTCACACCATCCTTCAATAATGTGAGAGGGATCCCTACGTGTCCCTTCAGAAAGTGATGACGTTTAAAATCGGGCCTCTCTGGGGCGCCTGGGTGGCTTAGTCGGTTAAGCGTCCGACTTTCGCTTAGGTCATGATCTCGCGGTTCGCGGGTTCGAGCCCCGCGTCGGGCTCTGTGCTGACTGCCAGCTCAGAGCCTGGAGCCTGTTTCAGTCTGTGACTCCCTCTCTCTCTGACCCTCCCCTGCTCATGCTGTCTCTCT